TCAGTCACCTGACTATATAGCTAACTTTGTTTTTATATGTGGCTAGTGGCTTCGGTAGTGGACAGAGCAGGTGCAGACTATTTCTGTCATATCAAAAGCTCTGTAGGACAGCACTACCCTAATTGATGGAAGTCATTTCCACAAAGTTTCTTATGCTCTTGTAGAGGTCATAAATGCTCTACTCTCTGGACTACTTGAAAAAAGGTGTTAACTATAGATATCAAAATGTACTCATGGAACAATAGGCATTTTGCATTGTTTGTAAAAGTTTAGATGATCTGTAGACTTGCTTCCTGCAAAAGACTACTCTGCAAATTCAGAGTAGTCTTACGTGAAGGATGATTAGCAATCATTTTGGAGCTGCTTGAAGTAAGGTTTGGGTACTTAATAGACAAGCACTGAGGAGTTAAGGAAGGCTTCTAACTAAAAGGAATGACCCTACTCAGCCAGCTCTGAAGAATGGGGGTAAGCTGAGGTAGTCTGCATATTAACATTAAAACCAAACTTAAAGGTTACAGAACTGAAGCCATTTTGTTACTAAGGGGATTAGGGGCATGAGTCATCTCAGAAGTGGATCCTATAGGATTTCCCAGATAGCTTTCTAGAGGTTCTCATGGGGAGGAAAGAGACCAAGATGTCTCCAAAGCCTCTGTAGTTAGCGATGCTGGAGAAGATTTGGCCAACACAGATGAGGCAGAAAGAGCAGTTCTGCATGGCTGAGTTTGAGATGGTTAGTGTACATTTCCCTAAAACACCAGCCAGAAGTTTAAGAAAGAATTAAGTCTTAGCCAGGCACAGTGTCTCATAACTGTAATTCTAGCTACTCGGGAGGCTGAGATCTGAACATCACCATTTGAAGCCAGCCTGAGCAGGAAAGCGTGTGAGACTCATATATTCAATTAACCACCAAAGAGTGGGAAATAGAGCTGTGGCTCAAGTAATAGGGCACTAGCCTTAAGCAAAAAAAAAAAAAAAGAACAACTCAGGAACAGTGCCCAGGCCCTGAGTTTGAGCCCCAGTACTGGTACTGAAAACAAATAATTAAGCCTCGAAATAATGGATTTGGGAAAGCTTTTCTGGAATTAAAAGAATGCAAGTCTAACACATAGATGAAAAATGTTCAGTATTGCTAGCTATCAGGGAAATGCAAATCAAAACCAAGTGAGATATCATCTCACTTCAATGAGAAAAGCTACTGTCATTTATAAAATTCCCTGGAATTGACTGAAGTGTCTTAATCAATAGGAGTAAATTTCAAGGTCCATTGATCCGTTCTATTGACAAATGCTGAGAGAAAATAAAGACATGTTCCTCATTCAAATAGATTAACTACATACACAATTAAAAAGTGGACATTTTTTAAAAAGTGGACATTTATATGATCTAATTTTTTTAAAGACAGTATTGCTCTATACCCAATCAAGGTAAGAAACAGGAAAAGTCCCAGGGACAATAGGAAAGATTTCCAACAAGTCTAAGGAAAGGTATATATCTGTGTGGTTCAACATGATTGTTGCTGGCAACGTGATGCTCTGAGCACTTGCAAGCAGTGCTGTCCATCCTCATCTTCCCTTTCTTGAAAGGAAGTGGCTCCATAATCCCCTGTTCCTCCAAAATTCACTCAGTGGAGAAAGAGGCCAGGTAAATTTCCCTTCTTTAGAAGACTTTTATGTCCTTTGATGAGTAGAGAGACTACTTACTATAGTTTTCAAATTTTCTCTTTACCCCAAATCTCAGATACTCACCCCTGCATCTGCCAGTGAAAATTGCCATTAAAGGCTTGGGAGAACCAAGCAACCATGGCTCATGCTGGTAATCCTAGCTAGTCAGAAGGCTGAGAACTGAGGATTGTGGTTCAAAACCAGCCTGGGCAGAAAAGTCCATTCAAGTCTAGCTTCAATTAACTACAAAAAAAAAGCCAGAAATGGAGCTGTGGCTCAAGTGGTAGAGTGTTAACATTGAACACAATGTTCAGGGATAGTGCCCAGATCCTAAGTTCAAGTCCCAGGGCTGTCATCAACATCATCATCATCATATATATATGACTAAATATATATATATATATATATATATATATATATATATCATGTCCCTTACTAGCTTTCATTTTATAGACTATATAGACTATGGATCACCAGCTAACATTTAATTATAAGAAGTGTCTTGAATTGTGGATAATGTTTTCACCTATGTTGAAACATGCTAGAAATAACCCATGTCTTAGATAACAAAGTTTCTGTGATAACCACCACTTCTAGCTTGTGCCAAGCACATGATAAGAAATAGCCCTCCAGATACATACATATTTTTGGGGTTTTTTGGGTCCGGTCATGGGGCCTGAACTCTGGGCCTGGGCGCTGTCCCTCAGCTCTTCAGCTCAAGGCTAGCGCTCTACCCCTTAAGCCACAGCGCCACTTCCGGCTTTTTTCTTTTTGCTTATGTGGTGCTGAGGAATCGAACCCAGGGCCTCGAGCATGCAAGGCAAGCGCTCTACCACTGAGCCACCTTCCCAGCCCCCAGATACATACATATTTACTAAGACACAGACTTTTGGGCAACATATAAAGGCAAGTGAAATTTTTATTTTGTTTACATAAGTAATACTTTGAACTGAGAAGTGACCATCTCATGGGCAGCAATATAGCTGCTAAAGAAAAGCCAAACCCACGTCTGAGTATCACACATCCTAATAACCTGTTCAAATGGAGCATCTAGTCCTTTCACTGATGTATTACATATATATGTTATATATAAATATGAATATATTAGCATATTTTAATTGATGCATCATTCTATTTTATTAACCATGTCTTTAAACCAAGCATTTCCTACAGGGCAGAAAGTTAACAAACACAGTATTTGACATGTAGATGTTTGTTTTGTTTCGGAGACTTTGCTTTTGGTGCCAAGGGCTGGCTCATTTAGAGGTATTTACTGAGACACGGTGGATATGTACTCATTCCAAAGGGAAAAGCCTGGATTCTCTCTGTACCATTAATATAGAGGTTAAAAGACATTTGGGTATTTCCTTAAAGACGTTACTATAAAGGTCAGAACTTGTAGCAAGTCATGAAGCACCCAGAGAAGAGAATTAGCCTTGAGCTAAGAGAATTAGACTTGAGCTCCCAGAGGGAAGCAATGTAAAGCACAAAGGTAAAGCTTTGTTCTACCCATAGGATAGCCACTCTAGCCATCTCCCTTAGTACTCAGGGCTATTCAGCATAGGTGCGTTCAGCAACAATAACCAACATTGAATAAGTGCCCACTGTTTACCAGGTGAGATGTTTTAAGAGCCTGGATTTCTGTGAGATACCCATGGGAACACTGGGCTGCCATTTCCTGTAATAATTACACTCAGAGTATTGACATCTCATTTATGGATACTCATGTGAACTTCCATCAAGGAATGGGAAACAACTAGCTTCCCCTTCAAATCTTAGCAGCAAACAACCTGCTGCTAAAATTTGTCATTCCCCCCCCCTGGAGATTTTGGCATCTATGCACTTTCCTGTGCATTGTTTCTATATTTTGTGTTGCCAAAGGTAAAAGGAGTCTTGCCAAGAGCTATTTATGTGACTCTTCCCAGGAAGTTCCTCTGCCCCAAAAGGCTCCAGCAGAAAGGGGCCCTCTTATACCAATAGCTCATTGTTGGATAATCCTGAAAAGCCACTGCATTATTGACATTTTTTCCCTCATTGGGAGTAGTCTAGATGAGGCTGTGCAAACCAAAGAGAAAATACAAACACCAGAAAGCTGCTAAAATAATGGACCATGAACTTCAGATGAGGGCTCTACCACTACCTAGGTACCCAGAAGCTACGTTACTCTGCTGAAGCAGGCCTGCCGGTGTCCAGATCACTGTTGTAGCCACCCCTGTGTCTCCCTTAAGTTTTGTCACATCTGGCTCATTTCTTTTAGGTGAAACTAAAATCCTTGTGTTCCTTTACAAATTCACAAGCAGCTCTCACATTATCTCAGGTAGTTCTTATGGTCTTTCTGGGAGATCGGCACAGATGTAGAGCTGAAATGGCATAGTTATGGCCATGCAGCCGAAGAATGGCAGTGTTAGGATCCAATGTGAGTTTTCCCCCACCATTCCAGATTGAAGAAATCGGGCTGTGTGGGTAACACTGGTTTCCTGACCTTCGATAGCTATTGGACAGATTGAGGTACTGCAAAGTATGTACATGGCAGGGTGTCACACACCAAAATGGACCCAGTGGAAGAAGGGGAAAATAGCTTGGGTATAGGCATGTGCTGCATCGAGGAGGGGAAGGGTACCCTGAGTCCCAGATGTGCTCCAAACTTCTCAGTTGGTAGCCCTGGATGGATTCTGAATCAGACAATGAGAAAGAACCACAGACATGTCACAACACACAAAGCAAAGTTTGTAATATAAAGTTTTATGTCTGGGTAAGTATAAAACTCTGATTTGACAGGAGTGTAATTAGGGAAAGTACATCCTCAGGCAATCACAAATACAAGCCACAAGATCAAAAGTTTAGGAAAAGAGAACTAGAGAGACACCCATAACAAATAAACAAGAAGTTTCCAATGGAAAGACTCTGGCAATCTATTCTTCCTTAAAGAGCATACAGAACTCCTAGGCAAAGTATAGACCAGCTTCTGTCACAGAATCCAATCATACTTGGTGTAGGTCACTATCTTTCAATAACAACCTGTTCTTTATGCTTAGACTCACTCTCAAGATGTTACATATTTCCTGGGGGCACATTTATTAGGGTGGAGGATGGTTGGGACCCCCAGAAATGGGAGGGAAAACAGAAGAATGATAGCATAAAAGAGCACAATTAGAAATTGTCAGATATTGAATATTTGACACAAAGACCACCAAGTATGTGGTCATCATTAAGCACAGGTTTGAACCAGAAACACAAGACATGAACGCAATTTGTGTGCCTAGTGATCTTAACTTACCCTCCTAGCCATATCTTATTGACTTTGTCTCAGGAAAAGCTGAGAACCACAGAATGTTGTGTTTAATACCTGCTAGGGAGCCTACAGATCATTCTGAAGCCATGGCAACAAATAATCTCTTTAAAGGTCTTCCGCATCTCTTGGCTACGGAAGGCATATATCAAAGGATCAATCACAGAATTACACATGATGAGTATGAGGTACATGTTGAAGTGAGACATATAGCAAGAGCAATAGATGTTCTGTGGGCATGAAATCATTAAGATGAGATGGAGGAAGAAGGGAGCCCAGCACACGATGAAAACCCCCAGCAGCATGGTAAGGGTGATGGCTCCCTTCATGCTGGTCCTTTGGCGCACAGAAGTGTACCTGGGAGCAGCTGCTATCCGCTTCACATGGTTCCGTGCCAGGAGGAACATGTGTATATACAGGGACACCATGAGGAACAGCATAGTAAAGAACATGGAGATGAGACAAACGATAACATAGGTGGATTCATAGTAAATGATGAAAATGATGCCACAGCCTGTACAAAAGGTCCAGATGCATGCAATAATCATCCCTGAGCGCCGGGCTGTCATGATGTGATGATAGCGCAGGGCATAGAAGATGGTGATGTACCTATCCACTGCAATGGCCAGCAAACTACACATAGAGGCCACCACAGAAATGCAGATCATGGAGTCAAATACATTGTCAATGTGACGCACAAAAGTGTCCGCGATTACCAGGTGCTTATTGTTTAGCAAATAAATGGTGATCGTCTCCCAAGCATTGGACATGCTCACCAGCATGTCAGCCACAGCTAAGCTGCACACAAAGAAGTACATGGGAGAATGTAAGTTCTTGTTCTTCACGATGGCACCAATGACCAAGATGTTCTCCAAGAGGCTGACAAGACCCAGAGTGAGAAACATCTCCACAGCAATACCCATGTTTTCACAGAGCAAGGACGTGTTCTTGATGTTTACTTCAGAAAAGTTACCGTCGGTGGCATTCAGACTGAGATTCAAGAAATGCTGGTGAAATGAAGAATTCATTGCTGGAGGGGTGAAAAGTGTCTCCTCTTCTTAGCAGCAAAGTTACTGTAAAACAGGTTTTTTTTCATGATCCCAAGAGGTTAAGTGTGTACAACAAACAAACAAAACACAGCATGCCAAAAGCAAACACATACTAAGGAAGGAAAGGAAAAAAGCCCAGGTATCAGAAGCATACAAGCCTGGCTCACTTCAATTCCTGATCCCTGAAATGCTGGCCCTCTGATCTAAAAACCTCATTTCCACTAACCTCTTTTCTTCTCTTCCCTGTCAGTGTGCACCTTAGTGGAGTCTCCGTGCAAAAGGACAATTCTACTTTGCATGCCTGTTGTCCTGGCACCCCCATTTACTCTCAAAAGTGTCCCGTCACCTACCAAAAAAAAAAAAAAATCCCATAAAACGCCAGAAGCTCTCCGGATTTTCACATTCCTAAAGCTACTGCTCACTTTCCTCAAGTGAACTCAGATTTCTTACTACAGACCCATATTCTCTTAAGAACAAGTGTCTGCATTACGACACTTGCTCCCACCACCCTGGTAGCTCAAACCCATCAAGGTGGAGTCACCACCCAGACCTAACAAGGTCCTCTACCTTGAGCACAGTTGCATTGAAGTTACTGTCTTCAATTCATACCTGTGCTTGCCTTGTTTATACTGCATGTCAAAGTTGAGGGAAACGCTGGTCTTTTCTCCAAAACAAATATTTTCCCTGAATTCTGCCTTACTTGAAATTCCACGGAAATTGATTCATAGTTTCATGCAATCCACGCAACCAGAGAATGAGCAAGTGATTGGCATTTGTGAACTACTACAAGAGGACACTCCTTGTCATTCGATTACCAAAAAAAAAAAAAAAAAAAACCCTTTGCCCTCCAAAGGGAGATCACCTGTGAGGAGTTAGAATTTTTGTTACCACTCTCATGGTTCATACTGATAACCATGAAGCCACGAGAACCAGACTGATAACCAGAAGCACTTGTCAACCTGCCAACATTTATTATTTGCTTATCCCTTATTTCAGAGGCACTGATCAGTCCTACCGTTGGATCAAACATTACAACCAGCCGTTTTAGGGATTCCCTGCATGGGCTAGCTGACTCCTCTTCCCCCACCCCACCCCTGCTCTCCCCACGCGCGCGCGTAGATCGGCGTGCTTTTGCACTGATTCCGGGCGGTTTAGGGTCTAGGCGATAGAAAGTTGGGGGCTATTTACCGGAGCTCTGGTCCTGCACCGCGGCCCCCACGCCCTCCCAGAACGCTGCGCTCAGCCAGGGCGCCCGGGGTCCGCGGGCTGGGACGACGGCCGGG